AAATAAATGCAGCAACAAGACAATAATAATAACATAACAGGTCACCAATTTAACATGTTTAGCTCTATAACATTTAAATGCACCTCTCCAAAGTGTGAGAGAAAAAAAATTTATGAACATTTTTTAATGTATGACCACTGTACAGAAGACTGTCATATGATAGCGCTTTCTAGCTTGTTTATCGTTTTGGTAACTACATCAAAATTACCGCTAGGTTGACAAAAATCACAAGTAAATCACGCCATCTGGCGGAAAATCTCACGGCTTTTTCAAATCACGCGAGAATGTGTACAAAACAACGAAAATGGCGCCGGCTGGGTCGTTTTCAGCTAATGTCGGTGATTTTAAAGTAATTTTGAGTGATAAATATTTTTTTTTTTGCGATCACTGCACTTGCTCGGCGGGCAAATGCAATGAAATCAATAAAATTAATATGAAATTAATAAAAAAATACTTGCCCCGGGCGATAGGGCGATGGTTAACATCGAGCCCTGATATTACTTCTGATAAAACCTATAAAAAAAAAAGTAAAATACCTCTGATGTTATATATCAGACACAAAATACAAACAGTAGTTTTCAAGTAGCTTTCAATCCCAGCGTAACTGGAATGTTCAACCATAAAGGCCAGGATGATGTTCAGATTTCATTCAGGGAGTTGCTGAACAGTCCCCTCACTCGATATCTCATTTGAACAGCAGGTGGCGGTAGTGCTCATCTAACTTAGTTAAACATCCGCCCGCGAAGAATCCTGAAAGAAGAGGATAGCACATCGGCTGGTCAACCCTAGGATACTTTAGCCCCCTACGTCGCATTACCATCTGTAGTTGACAGGTAATGGTATTCAGTCTGGTTTTGTCTGAACGCTGTTTATTGAAAATTCGAAGTAGCTAAGGCCCGGATGCTGGTAGCATTTCTAAGGTAACGCGATACGGCTAGCTCATCCTTGCCTGGGCCCCGTGAGCAAAGTTGTTGCGTGAACTCTATGAAACAAGAAGACCAAAACACCCAATTATTTCATCTAAACTGTATCGTAGTACTATACCTACCCACGAGAATCTCATGTTGCTATGTGATAGTTGGCTAGCACTACAGAAATTAGCTATCGAGACACGTAGGCAGATATTTTCTGTTAAGCTTTTATTGTTTGTTATCCCATAAAACCAAGTTATGTGGAATAACAATATATGTATCAGTTTTTGTTAAAATCAGATTGACTGTAGGGTAATTAAAGCGATATCAGTGATGGTAGTTGGTGTCAGACCGTATTAGTGATGGGATGATGGGATTTTCTGTTATGGAAGAGACTAGAAGGGATCTAGAAATAGACGAGATTAAACCAAGTCACCTGCTTAGATGCACTGAAAATCGGACTATTTTGACTCAAGTTATTTAAAAATCTATTTTTAGCTTAGGTATTTAAGATGGATTTAGGGGGAACTAGTTCTGAGCATCTTTCTGCACGGTTGAAAATATCCTGGGTTAAATCTAACAGACAGCCAAAGCAATGGAAATGTTTAACTTAGATTTTTTTGAAATGTAGTCTTAAGATAACATAAATGCTATATTGAGATATCAGCATTATTGAATTCCAATTTATTTACTCAAATAAAGCTTCTTTTTTTTATCAATATTTATTGCTATTCAAGCTATAGTTAGGAAAATGGTCTTTGTCTGTTTGTTTTAGCCTGAGCCGTAACAAACCAGGTTATAAACAAACAGAGGCAAGGCCTGTTTCTATAACAAGTTTAGCCGGACAATGAATAGTCCTAGATATAATCGCAATATACAATATTGTTTTTTGGCAACTATTTTCACTTAATGAAAATCGTTGGAGAAAGTACTTAACAGTAGTACTTGAGTAAAAGTATTGCTACTCATGGGCAAATCCTACTCAACTACAAGTAAAAGTTACTCTGTCAAACATCTGCTCAAGTTAAAGTATTGAAGTTCTCTCTTTTGAAATGGCTTAAGCATTCAAAGGCAAAACAAATATGTAATATACATATGTGTCTGTACTGTATAATATTCAGATTGATTTTAAACCTTCTAACTTTAATAAACCACTTAATGTATTGACGCAAAGAACCAACTGCTACAAATTCTACACTGTCTGTGAACTTCAGCTTAAAAATGCAACAAAAAATTTAGAATGGTTATTTTGATTATTATTATTATTTAGTGTTGATTCTCCTTTCATTTTCTCTATAGTATAGAGGTTTAAGGTAGAATCTATTTCCACAAAGATACTGCAGCTCTGCTTTGAGAACTCATCCTACTGAACAATTTGTCCACATGACATCAACTCACGCCTTTAATAAAATTTGTAAACCACAAATAATGTATGCGCTGGGTTTTTTCACATTTGTGGAATTTCATTCAAATCTCAAATTCAGCCCTCTGTGGCTGGTATGTTACATGTTTTGTTTCATCTCCCTTTGAGGTAGTTATTACCTACTCAGCATGTCAAAGTTCTGCATATGTCTGCTAATGAATTACCATTTGACCCAGGTGTGTTGACAAACAGATAAATAAAACATCCAGGATGCCTGTTCTTAAGGATGAACTCTTAACTTTGTGAGAAACATTATGTAGCTGATTGTGTCCTTGTGTTAAAGGAATGTGTCTGTTGCTAATTGTTTTTCAAGAAAGGAAAACAGCAGCCAATGGATTACTAACCTAATCTGAGACAAAAGGAATGAGTAATGCTTCTTAGAAATGTAATGGAGTCAAAAGTATATAAGGAGAATTTAGAGAAACCTATTGTGGGAGGAAGCCAGAGAACCTGCAAGAAAGACCCCGGGTGGACTCAAATCCAGGACCCTCATGCTGCCAGGCAACAGTGATAACCATTGTTCCACAGTGCAGCACCTTACTTAAGTTCAGTAATCAAGTAATTGTACTTTGTTACTTTTCAGTGCATACTTATGCAAATCATCTTGTCAATGATTGATAAGCTTGGAATCATAAAGACCAATAAACAATGGAACCGGGAGAAATGTTGATTAAATAATCAGAAAAAAATCTATATCAATATGGATTACAACAATAATCACTAAGCTCAGTTGGGATAGGGAAAACGGGAAAAACTGCCAGTTTTATAAACGAGTGCAAACTAACAAAAAAAAAGCCCTCCATTTGAATAAGAGCAGCATCTCTTTACGCCCTGTGATTGCGTGCCATTTTGTCATTCCCTTCATGTATTTTGTTTGTCTCCAGGTTCAAAGCAACATAGAATCAAGTGTTATGGATGAACCATGAAGGCACAATTACAAGTCACAGGTGAGTTATTGCTAGAACAAACTTAAGAACAACAGATAAAGTTGAAAGTAGATATTTACTTAAAGTTTTGTCTAAAATACTATTTTTTCTTCACGTTATGAAAGTGATTATGAAAGTGTAACTCACTCCAATTTATAACGTAACCCCAACTGCAGATGGAAAAACTACCACTCTGATGGTGTTTTAAAATGTAAAGCTTTAGCCAAACATAAAGCTCCAAAGGTCTGAACTTTGCCATAACCGCTATGCAACATCCAGCAACAGAACTCATCATTACTGCCACTGAATTAAACTCTAGAAACAGCAACATGGCAGAGGCAGAAGGGAAAGAAATCAGGATTAAAGTTACTGCTGGCATTCTAGAATGAAAATGCCCTCTTTTAACATCACGCTACAGTAAAGCAAGGCAGGACCCTATCTCAGCCAAAACCACAACATTGCGAGTTTTGTAGTAGACAAAGGTAGATGCACAGCATCAAGCAACACAACCATCATGACCATCAGGCCCTGAAAAGGGATTCACCTAATATCTACTAAAGGAAAAATAACAGACTTTCTCTAAAAACTGGAAAGAGAAAGATGCATCAATCTGTCTTTATTATGAACTGTGTGTTACGTGTGTTAACTGTGAAATTAATTTTATAAGTTTTAAGGCTCTAAACTTGTCAGCACATCAGTCACTGACGAGTCAGGTGGTTGGGTGGGAGTGCAGGAGTACGGTCCAAAACCAAAGTTAAATGTTTCTTATTTTCAACATCATCATATGACATTGTAAATTCATAACCTCGCTGTTTATCTACACACAGCAACTGCAAACAGAAAAGTTGTTAATTCACCTGCAGGCAACTGGGAGAGCAGGATTTTACCACACAATGCCCGGTTCTCATGGGAAGTGCTGTCTTCCGTAAGAAAAAAAATACAGCTTTTTCCCACTGGACTTCTTTCAAACCGTTTTAATTCACATCACCCACTGGAACACAGATTTCTGTTATCAGAACCCTGAGTTATTGGGTGAATAACCCTCCGTTACAGAGGAGAAACAAGAAGAACACTAAGACACCAGGAAATCACTCCAAATATGTGGTCACCCAAACTAGCAGAAAATACACCACTGAATCTAACATAAAGGAGATAATAGATGTCTTTTCCTCAGGGACCTCCTGTGTCAGGAGAAGAATTTTCTTAAAACACAACATACTGGTAAACTGAGATGGCAAAAGTACTTACTTTTCGTACTTGAGTAAAAGTACAGATACTTGTGTTAAAAAATACTCTGGTAAAAGTGGAAGTACTGATTAAACTTCTTTACTCAAGTAAAAGTAACAAAGTACAGGCTTGTAAATTTACTTAAAGTATAAAAGTAAAAGTAGAAAGCACTTTTTTCATGCCGTTGCCTACATTTTAAATGGATGTCTGCCAATAGGACTAGATCTCCGTTGTGTTCATTTTCAATCATCTCGTCGTCCATGCTACTATGCTAACGCCACCGCCACCAAGCTGCAATGATTTGCCGCGAATGAATACCGCCGAATCTGTCGGTTCATCTTGTAGTGGTGCGTCAAATGCAACGTAGATTCCCATCCAATTAGATTGAATTTGGTATTGATGGCGTGAAAAATAACGGTAACTCCATTGAAATGATTCAAAACTAAAGTAACGAGCCAATTTTTTAAAATGTAAGGAGTAGAAAGTACAGATATTTGTGTAAAAATGTAAGGAGTAGAAGTAAAAAGTTGCCATAAAAATAAGTAGTAAAGTAAAAATATCAGAAAAATCTACTTGAGTACAGTAACAAAGTATTTGTACTTTGTTACCGGTACTTCCCATCTCTGCTGGTAAACTTCAAACCCAACAAAACTAAAAAAAAAAAACCCCACCAGATCTAACAACTAACCAAACATGGCACAGCACAGAAGAGTCAGCAGTGCTGATTCAGCAGGACACACCTTTAACTACTAAGATGTTCTGATTTTATACATGGAACACAGCAGCCTCCAATGACCAGGAGAGAAACAGGTTGGTCACTGATATGGACTGAACTGGGCTTACTCTAGTGTGAGCGTCCAGACAAAAGCACCCAAGAATAAAAGACACAGACTTCATGAAGATGCTGGTTGAAGCTAGATGTTATCTACAGTTAAACAACATTCAGAGAAGCACAGTGGTGGCAGCATCATTCTGAGTGGCTGTTTTACAGCAGGGACAGGTGCACTTCGTTCAATAAAGGACAACAAAGTCACTTTTATGGAGTGGCCATCTTAAAGCCCTGATCTTAGTCCTAATGGAAATTTGTGAGGAGAGGTTAAAAGATGCCTATAAACTCCCCCTTTTTTTGTCAGGAAGATGGAAAAGAAAATATCTATGGCTCAATATACTGTCATTAAAATAATTACATTTGTTATAATACAGCAATTTTTTTTATATAAAGCTATTGCAAGTATCTGGTTTCATCTTTAGATGTGTATTTTATTTTCATTTTATTTACAGGTTACATAATATGGAAGCAAATCATTACCATATTTAAAATGAAAAAGCATTTCCAGAAATGCTTTTTCATTTTAAGAATGTGGCTGCATTGTTTAACTCATAAATGAAATTGGTAATCAATCATCCTATTTGCATTTTCATTTCTTCTTCAACACTGCTCATCCTTTTAGTTCATTAAAATTAAAAAGCAAAAGAAATTTGAGATTTATTTTTCAAAATGTCCCCCAGCAAATGCATACCAAAATTCAATTTGAAATATAAAATTTGAAAATGAAAAAGCATTTCCAGAAATGCTTTTTCATTTTAAGAATGTGGCTGCATTATTTGACTCATAAATTAAATTAGTAATCAATTCTTAAAATGAAAAAGCATTTCTGAAAATGCTTTTTCATTTTAAATATGGTAACAATTTACTTCCATAACATAAAAGTCGGTCCTATAGTGATGATATAAAATGGTTAAATGAAACGTTAAAATAATTCTTTGTAAAGCCTGAATGAAACAGCTTCATAGTAAATAAAAATAAATCATCTAACATTAGAAGTCCATATTCTGCATTAGTCACAGCGCCTTTATTAACTACCTCTGAATTTACTAAGCGCTTAATGTTGCATGGATTCTAAAATTATTATGAACATTTTAGTTCCTGATATTTCATGGCTTTCAGATGTAGAAGTCAAGCAATTCACATTCTCAGCTGGTGGTTGCTGGGTTGGAAAGTGATCATAAAAAAATCAGCAATCTAATAAGAGGTAAAGGTCTTTGGGCCTAACTATACAGGTAGAAACCAATGGTTCTTTGAATTTTAACAGGATGATTACAACAAATAACCAAAACGGCAGAAATTTGGTTCTATAAATGTTTTCATTTATTGATATCTGAGTTTTTCCTATTGCTTTTAAAATAAACAAGGATGTTTCCACATTAGACTTCTGTAATACTGTCACATGACTGGAAAACCTGTTGAACGTGTCTTTTATTTCCACTAATAAGCTTAAAAAAAGATCTTGCTAATACACACACAGCAGCTAAAGCATACATACAGACCATACTGTGATCAGTCTTTCTAATAGTCAGTAATTTAATTATTCTGACAGTACTGATTGCTTATAAATCTGGCAAATGTTTGTGAGGGAAAGTGATTATTTATAGAAAGATTAGCCACATGAAAATTTTATTTAGAATAAAATGAAATAAAGAAAAAATAAGAATAGTGCAGTGAAGTCTGAATATCTTTTCCAAATACAACTGAATCAGTCTGATCAGCAGAAATGTTCTTTTATTGTCACTGCCGCTCATGCTTGTCATTGTCCTTCCAGTGCTCTCAGCCAAGCTAAAGGAAAACAAAAAGAACTGGTTTGGTCCCAGTCCTTACGTTGAGGTAGCTGTGGATGGCCAATCAAAGAGGACAGAGAAATGCAACAACACCCACAGTCCCAAATGGAAGCAGGCCCTCACTGTGTGAGTACTGATGTTGTTTGTCTCTAAAGGGAGAAGATAGTTGGTCTCTACCTGAAATACAGGATATGAAAAAGGATTTCTTAAGACATCCTGTCAGTATTTTTGTTTGATGTAGTCAAAAATACTTAAGTCAATGCATGAAAGCAATTTAAACTATGAACATAAATGTACATTTAATGTTCATAATACAGGCTTTATAAACATAGTTATGTGTATCATTGTGTAAACTTGTTATGACTGATGTTGTGGAATCATAAAGTTATGTTTGGGTTTCAGTCAAGCTGTCATAATGCAAACATACAGTTTTCCAATACTCATCTCTCTTAGATGCCCATAAGGTTCCTTTAGCATGTTTCTAAAAGTAATGAGTAAAAAAGGAGTTCAACATTTTCAATGAAATTTAAACTAATGGTTGTATTTTAAAATGTTGCCTTTGTACTTTATCAAGCTTGATCTTGCAGACATTAACTGTGTACTATAGGTAGTCTCATGACCCCAACTTTAGGATTCCTATTGATATCTAGTTGCTTGTTTATGAAAACACTAAATGCATTACATTTTGGTTCAACTCAAGTCACACATATTGCTTTCCTTTAAATCACAAAATTATTTCATAACTTCAAAGCAAGATGTATTCAGATACTTTAAATATATGGAATTTTATTACTTGCACATATAATTATTGGACCAAAAAAAAACTACAGGAACAGCTAAATCTAGAGAATGTGTTAAAAACATACTCTACACAATAGATTTTAATAATAAAAAAAATGTTTTGATTTTCCTGACAACCCATAGAAAACATGGGATTGAAAGAGTATGCCACAGACCTGTAAAGTCATTGCCTTCCTCAGTCCAAAATCTCACTGATATATATATTTTTTTCTGTCTCCTTCCTGCAGAATTGTGACTCCAGTCAGCAAACTAATCTTTCGTGTTTGGAGTCATCAGACACTGAAGGCAGATCTTCTGTTAGGCATGGCTACTCTAGACATCAGCTCTATCCTCAAAGCCAATGACCTTAAATGTGAGTATACATTTAAATATTTCTTCCATGTAACCTTCATTTAAAATGTATATTTTTTAAAAATTGAGAGCAAATTTTCACCTCTCATAATAACCATAATATGTTAGAGATTATAAAATCATTAAAATCGTTTGTTTGACCAGCTGTTTTGATTCAATTTGTTGCTTTCTTTTTTCACTTGTTGATTAAAGAGCTCAAATGGTATAAGCTAACCTAATACCATCTGATTGTTTTTTCCATAGGAGAATAAATAATATAGGAGCACAACCTCCCATGGGGTGTCTAGTTTTTTTGTGTGATGAATTAAACTTTAAATAATTTCTATCTATAAACACCAGATTTTATTCATGAAATGTTTGCTTTAAAAGAGCCAGCCAGTAATGTCATATTTTTGGCACTTTTTAAACATAGTTCAGTTTAAACATTGGTTCTGTTTTCAATAGTTCTGTAGAGACTGAATGTCTTGTTATGTTGGAGTTCATCCCCTGACTGCGCTCACTGTCAATGTTTTTGTTGATGTTGGGTAAAGTTACTCACCTTTTGTTCTTTTTTAAAAGTGGAGGAACATTGTTTTTTCTCTCCACTTTCATTCCTTTGCTGAAATGTGAGTTTCTCAATCATGTTGTATTTGAAACATTTGCTGTATTTGATCCTAATCTTAGTGTGTGAGGTGGTGCAGACGCTGCAGCTGTCCTCTGACAGAGACCCTCAGGATAACGTTGGAGACCTCTCAGTCTGTCTGGATGGTTTGCAGGTTGACCCAGAAACCTTTGCTCTGGCAGAGAGGAATCAAGGTATGGGAAGCAGAAATACATTTACAGTAGAAATAATGCAGTACTGAAACACTTCTCTTTTTGGTCTAGAAATGTAATGCAGTATTATAGGGATGGAACGGTTTTTGAAAACCGTCCGAACCGTTCGGTTCGACTGTCTCGGTTCTGTTCACGTGTGTTGC